TATATTCAGTTTTCGAGATGTGAACTTTTTACCACTTCAGCCTAAACCGATTAAAAAATTATTTTATCTTGATTATTTACAAGTAATTTATCTAATTTTTCTATTTTGAGATATTTGAGTATACTCTAACTAGTAAAGTTACTCATACTCTCCTTCCTTTTTATATATAAGATATGGTTTTTTGATTATATTTAGTCCTCTTTATAAGACATGCCTAAAGAATATATGAAATTCTAATCAATTTCTTATGTTATTTGCATGAATTATTCTTACACACATCTCATTTTCTTATTCAATACTTCTCTCATTCACGTTCTCTCGTTTCATAATTTCACCAAAAGAAATAAATGAGTATTTTTTAGAAATAAAATATATTTTTATATATTTATTACCTTCTATCAATTTTAACCCACCCTCCAATCTATGTAATCTGGTTACTAATTTACAATGTTTCAAAAGTTTAGGAATATTTTGAAAAAAAATCAGCCAATAAAATTTAAATTGCGTAAATACTAAATAAAATAATGCTCTATTTGTTTGCTCGGGGATCATTTGCAGTCCAAAAGGCGAGCTTGTTTAGGACCATAACTGGCAAAGAAATGAAGAAGACGAAGAAGAAAGAGTAGAAGAAGAAGAAGATGCATCTTACGCCTTTGTAGCTGCATAAATGGCGTAAAGAGGATGTGAAGGCACAACGATCCCAGCTCCCGATCCAATGTTGACGATCGCACCTCTTCTTCTCTTTATCATTCCGTCCACAACCGCCTTCGTCACCGCCGTTGTTCCCTCCACGTTCACCTTCACGATCTTCATCCACACTTCCTCCTCCACCTCGTGAAAATACATCGCTTCGGGATACGTGATCCCGACGTTGTTCACCAAAATCCCTAGATCCACCACATCCTTGATCGCCGCCTTCAGTCGCCTGATTCCTCCGTCGGTATCTCCGGCGAAGTCGATCTCGACGGTTCGGATGTCACAGCTTGGGAAATCAGCTCGGATTTCATCCGAGACTGTTTGAAGCTTGTCGGAGCTTCGACTGACGAGAATGAGGTTCAGGCCGCGGCGGGCGAGTCCGTAGGCGAAGGCTTTGCCGATGCCGTCGGTGGCTCCGGTGACGAGAGCCCAGGCGCCGTAGCTTCCGATGAGGTCCTTTTCAGATCGGAGGAATGTTTGGAAAATCCATCTGAGAAGGGACAAAGATTGCTTCAGAACGATGCGGAAGCCGAGGCACGTGGTGATGGCGAGAAGGAGCCACTGCAAGGAATCGCTGCATGTAAGGACACGTAACCCCATTTTCTTCCTTATGAGTTTATCGATTTTATTTCTGTGGATGGATCGAAGGTTGGAGGAGTGTATAAATATATATATATATATATATATATATGCATGCTTGTGTGTATATATATAATCATCGCCGTTACTCAGACTGTGCAACATACGTATCCTACTCAATTAGTGCAAGCTGGTAGCGGGTACTTCTCTTCATAATATAAGAAATTAATTAAGTTTTTTCACAGATAAAAGAATATTATTAGTTAAGTTATTAAATATTTTTAAATCGATGAAATTTACAATTTTATCCTATGGAACATTTAAAATTGGCAACAAATGATAAAAATAAAAAACTGTCATTAATTATGTGGTCAATTTCTTATATTTTGGATTAAAAAATTTTTCTGAAAAACTTTTTATATTTTTAATCAAATGGAGTATATATATTGATTTTGCATATGAACAACAAATTAAATAACCAAATCACGGATATCAAAATATTAGTTAAAAATAATAAACATGTCAGAGATGCAACTTTTTCCAAATACATATTTTTATTTATGAAGATGATAACCAAAAGAGAATGAGTGGGGAAGGAGACAAGTAAGCGCAATAAAAAAAAAAAGAGAAAAATATAATTAACTGACTATAAAAATGAAAAAAGTATATTAAATTTTTAGACAAGTACAAACGAACTCATTATGAAAAAATGTTGCTTATATATAAGATCCAAGAGAGTATATATATATATATGTACCAAAAAAAAACAGAGTATATATATATGCTACTTTTCCGGTCCTTAATATAAAATATAATTTGATTAGATTAAGAAAGTTAATTAAGTTAGTTAATTATAAAAAATATCACATTTTTTTTCCAAAACAGCATAATCATCTTCCTTAATATCATCTCTTCCTCTTCTACTTAATTATAGGTGAGGAAGTACCCATAAAAGCAATTTTAAAAAAATTGATAAATATGAGAAATAAATCTTATATTTAGAATCAAATTCAACTTAATAACTAGATCTTATATTAAGGATAGAAAAAGTATTATGCAACAGTGAACAGCTGAGAACAAGCATGGAGGAGCATTTATTGGAGGTTGCTTTAGGAGCCACCAAATTCAGCAAACGGCGACGGGTTCACTTCTTTCGGGTAAAAATGCAGATACGTGGGATAATTGCACTTTTCATGACGCATTCGAATATGAAGCACCTCACCAAAAAGGTGAGAAATTGGTTGAACCTAAATATAACGGCTCACGTGGTTCGGCATGATAATTAAATTGATTGTGTGAATAATAATATTTGGATATTTCAATAACGAAACATTTCTTTTTTTACTTCACAAATTGCAACATTTAATAAAATAGTAAATGCTGCATTTAGATTCAATATCAATATAAACGAGTAATAGGAAAAAACATGACGCATTCTGATTCCATAGAAATCCCAAGTTTTGTCTTGATAGTATTACTAGTAAAAGTATATTTTTAATTCTTTATTTTTATACAAAATTTTATTTTAATCTCTTAATTTCATAAATTATCTTTTTAGTTTTTTACTTTAAATGTAGTTAATAAAAAAGGCTGAATTTGAAATTTTATAGATTGATATAAGTTTAATTTTTAAAATAATAATAATTGTTTTAAAAAAATTATCCTTTCAGACCAGTAATGTTAGGAATAAAAGACTGAAAACATATATTTTAAAATTAAGGGACCAAAGTTTCTCATATAAAATCAAATGATTAAATATGTACTTTTACCTAATTTAAATATTTTTTGACCATAGATTCAAATATAATCAAATTTCAAACCAAATTTTACGTATAATGCTTACTTAATTACTTTCAACGTATTAACTTGGAGGTGATGGAGCTCTTGAATCTTGAACATAAGCCTAGATTCAAACATATTCATTTTCAGAAGGAAAAAGAAGGATAAAAGGAGGAGTAAAACATTTTGCTTCACAATGTAGGTTCTTTTCTCTCATCTCGTCTTGGTCCAAAATATAAATTCAATTCACTAATACATAAAGCATTTAAATTTTTTTATTTTGTCCTTCTATAAAATTAAAAAATCATCTTCCATTTAATGTAGTCTTTAACGCTCTACTTTGGTAACTTTTAATAAGAGCGTTGGCCAAAAAAAAAACTTTTAACGAGTATAAAGTATTTGAATAATGCTACAATATTTTTATATCTTCAATGAAGCCAACGTTTTCTTTTTTCAGTGAAAAAAATAGCTTAAAAATGAATATGTTTGAATCTAGGCTTATACAATACACCCCCTTTGCAGCGCTTTCTTTCAGTGTAGAACCATAACGCGGGAAGGAAGACCGAACCCCACATGCACTAAGCCAGGCGTATCCACCTCATCAAGCCATCAACCGCCCCACTCATTATAAACGTTGATTTAACTGTGTTAGGTTCTGAATGATCCAATAAAAAAGAAAATTACTTTCAAATACTGCATTTAAAATCAGGTAAAAATATAGGAAATGGGATATTAGTTTTCCCTTCTTCCTTTTGGACTAAATCTGAACTTACTTTTAAAGAAACTACTTCTCCAATTCTACATATAAAACTCATTTTGTAGTATAAATTACACTAAAAAATAAGTCTTATATTTATGACCAGATGAGTATATTTTTTGTCTTAGTATATGTCAATTTATTAAATTGTTGATTATGTAAATCTATAATTTTACCTCAAATTTATTATTTTGTATACTGTTATTTAAGATTTTTCTTACTTTTAATAAAATACATTAAAAACACCTTATAAACAAGATCAAAACTTTTATCAAGTAAGATTCGTTGGAAAATTAGTAAAGCACAGTAGGACGGTAGAGTTATGAATGAGGTATTAATTGAAGGAGATGAGACTTCTGTTCTTTCCAGGGGAATAGCACGTCTTCTCAAGGTATTCACTTCTGCAACTTTATACAGCTATTTGTTGGCAAAAAAAAAAAAAATCATACAGCCATTTTTGTACTAATTTTTTTTGCCATCTCTTTTTGTACTAATTAATTTCTACTCCCTCCGTTCCTTATTATAAGAGACATTTGATGCTTATGCCATGTTCCTATATATAAGAGACACTTAAAAGTTGTCTCTACTTTTTTGTGTTGATTTCCTATTTTACCCATATTTATTGTCTCCAACTCACACTCTCTCTCCCTCTCACTTCTCTTTCTTTCAATAATTTAATTATTCTCTCTCATGCTCTCTTTCCTTATTAATGAGGGCATTTTTGGAAAAAAAATTATATTGATTGTTCTTAACTAATTTTAACTGCTTTTTTGATCAACGTAATTCGGTTATTCGTCTCTTATAATAAAGAACGGAGGGAGTATTAACCAATTCATTATCATATAAACATGTGCCAACAAAGAACCCAAAACCAACCAAGTTCAACCTTCATTAGCCCTCACGATGTTCAACTAACTTTTAAGGAGAAAAGTTATGAAGTCCTAAGCATGGAATATAATTACTCAAAAAACTCAATGACAACAAAACAGCATGTGATAACTAAGTTCTAAAATAAGAAATGATAACTGCTCATTTGTCATTGGGAATTATGGGTAATTATTTTCTTTCCTTGGGGACCTTGGTGTAATTCTGCCTAATTTTTATCAAATTTGTCAATCAGATCTTATATTTAGAAGTAAGATTTTAGGTCAAAAATATTCCTCGAGAGAATTGTACTCAAATTTAGCCATTTCAAGACAGAATACAAGCCTTTATCTTGCCCATTGACCCAACTCTTCAATTTAGTCATTTACAGTAAGTTATGCACAGAAATTTGAATTGAATGTATACTAACTAGAATTAGTCAAAGGAGGTTGTAATCTTAAAACGTTGAAATAAAACACCATAGATTTGAGTCAAGTGAATTGACCACCTACCAGCTTCTGTGTCTGTATATATAATATTTTGGTTTTAAAGAGGCAGGAAGCCCCCAGATCTACTCCGACGTATTTGATGTGTAGCGCCAGAGGATCCCTCCAATCAGATTGTTCACTGCATGAGAAGCCATGGGCACCAAAATGCTGGAGGATAAAATTGTGGCATAACCATAAGCAAGCCCAACAAACGTTGCCCTGAGACACCACCAGCACCAACAATCTTACGCTCAAAATGAACTCAAGCCAAATAAACCAAATGCTTCAGAATGCCATGATGACAATTTAAGTTGCCTCATTAGTTGTTTTCCGTCGTACTCTGATTGAGTTTAAAAACTAATAGTATAAAGATATATGAAGTCTAAGGACTACATTTTAGCTGAAATTAAACTCAACAATATGATCTAGATGAGAGAAATGCAGAAGGTGAAAAGATATGCACCAGATGGCAAAGGAATACTTTCGCCCGCTGCCTAAGTGCAAAACACCAAAGACTAAGGCAACCACCCCGATGCTTATCCAGTTCATGCCCAAGAGTGGCAGAAGTGCCCCCCGGAAAAGCAGTTCCTGGAAACAAATTTTAACACACGTGAGGATAATCATGGAAAGTAACCAAGAAACAGATTAATTAGACAGAAAACTAATTCTCTTTTTACCTCACTAATCCCAGGAAGGAATGCAACGGCCATGTAATCCAAAGGTTGGAGTGAGGTAAGGACCTGATAAGGAAAGAAGATCATTGCCAGAGCTCAACAAAATATTTAGACCCAAAACCTCAAAAATGACAAGCAGCAGAAAGGCAACAAAATTCTTCTCATGTTGTAATAATCATCTGGCAAAACTTTTGAAACCTTAAGACACATTTCTGAAAAATGACTTGATTCACCTGCTGATTGGCTGCTTCACTTGACTCAGCAAAATCTGTCCATGTCTTCAAAAGCAGAAACCGGCATGATGATATCAAAACCACCAGTCCTATAATCAACTCAAGATGCCACATCTCAAAATCAACTGCATATGAAGGGAAAAATAGAAAGTTTCTTTACAAGCAACATCAAAATGTTAGATGTAGCCGTAAAGGGAAATATCCATGAAGCTGTTTCCTTCATTTTGGGCAAACTTTTCCAACAAACTACACAGTAATTGCTAAGAAAAAAGAAGACTCACTTTTGTGATGTACTCTTTTTTAGACACATTCACATTTGTCATACAGTCAACAGAATCTCATCAAATATTCCTAATCATGATTAGGGTTTATCACACGTCATGTTAACTTTTTAGTTTTATGAAAATAATACGAGATAGTTTAACTTTCATAACCAACAGATCGTGTTCCTTAAATTTCCGATCCACATATAGTTTCATTAATTTTTCTCATTGATACCACGGAAGTATAATAATCCAACAACACTTTCCATTTAACATAGACTGATATCTGACAACTGCAGTCTCCACATGTACAAGGATAGCAGTTACTCTATGCATTTGGCTCATAAAAATAGCTTTTTAGATTCATAATATTGTTGCATGAACAAAAGTATCATTTCTCAGCAAAGGGTGTAAATTGAAATTTGAATTGCATAGCATGGGAAGGAATAAATGTGTAATACATGACACTACCGAAGAACAGTCCAGTACTGGCAACCCCTCCATTGATGCAATATGAGACACCTGCAAGTTGCAATAACTAGATGAAGCCATTAAAAAGACCTTCGCCATGCAAAGTTTAACTGCTCATAGTCTCGAGTTATGATAAGAACTGGCAACAAATCTTTCTATCTGTAATTAAGAATTCAACCCATCAGAATAGAGCTTTTAATTTCAATATAGCATCTTCTAACTAATATGTGGCTTAAGAAAAATAGAGGAGCCCAGAATACAATCTATGAAGGCTGAAGAACTAAAAACAATAGGGGGTTCTTTTGCACTCATGTTTATATTACTATCGTGGCTGGTAGAATTATTGTAATAAAATGAGTAAGTGAGCAAGAAGTTTATTCATATGGAGAAACAGGACAAAGGGGAAAACACCTCTGGCTAAAGCAAAAATCAGAAGATCACCTGCCGAATTAGGAGTCCAAGAGCAGCTAACAGACCAGAAGTGATTGTGCAAGCCTGAAGAACTGCAGTTCTAGAAGTAATAAGAGTAGAATTCTGGCTAGTTGAAAAAGCACCCAACTTGTCATTCTGAACAAAATTGTCTTTTGCTGGAGGCCCAGAATCCTCTTGTCCATTCCTTATGGACTTCCTTGCAGACTTCTTGGCAAAAGAACATATTTTATGTCTAAATCCCTGTAAAGATACTATGCATCATAAGTTGAACGTGCTGCTGAAAACGATGTTCTTGTAATAAATTAAAGGTAAATTCTCACACGGAATGTTTTGGTTGGCAAGACCTGGTGTATATTCCAAAGAGCAATAAATTCATTATCTGGCACATACCATAACCGTTTTAGAGAAATGAAGACAAAAGAGACAGACTAAATAAGGGGGAACAAAAAAGGGAAGTCCATGACTGAAAATATTGCTTAGTGCAGGAAGGTAAACTCGTAGAAAAGAGAGAGACTACACTGATCCAATTGAACCGAAACTGAAATGGATTATTTAGTACAGCTGAAATTACATTTGAATGTTGGTATGTCCATCTTAACATGCTGTAACTTACGAAATCATTGAATAAGAAAATAACAGGATATGAACATAAGATAAAAGGGTGATCAAAACAATTATGCATGATACAATCACTCATCATTTGCCTCCCTTTCTTAATTTGTCTCCGTTTGATAAGTACTAATATCTGGTGACTGGTATACTTTCACCTGCATCTTCACTCTCATTCAGCATATCCAAATACTTACTTCGTCTAGTTAGAAGAAGGCATACTCCCGCAGTTCCATGTATTAGTTAATTAGAAGTAAATAAATGAATTGATTAGAGAATGATTTCTTTCCTGTTAATTTAGTCCTTCAAAGGTAAAGCCTTTCGATCTAGTCCTGAAACATCACTCTTCCCACATTTCATTCCACCAAAGATAAAACTTCTCAATTTATCCGTAGATATCCTTCTCCCAAGTAATGTGCGAAGCACCATGCAGATAATAAATCAAGAATCCATGGAAAGCGGTACTTATAACAGAATGTGAGATGAGCTACATTGTTCATGCCTATAGATTTTATAGCTGATTGATTAACTACCAAATAAAGATGTGCTTCTTCTCCCATTTATAGATCTTTTTAGATGATTTAGGATTAGGATTTCGTCGTTCCGATTATGGATTTAACCTTCCGAGATTTTATTAATTGCTCAAAATTAATAACAGCGAAGTAATTTCAGCTAGAGGTTCACTTCATCTTTCAGATGATAATGCTTAATATCTTTCGGAAGAAACTCAACTTCTGATTCGTGTTTAAAGAGTAAGGTTAGAATATCCTAAATTGAAAAACCAACCGGTCACCATGAGCTAAACTTTTGATAAATGACAGCACACGGTAGCATCTACTTGGCTAAATGAAAATGCATAAATTTGAAAGACAGTGAGGGAAAATGAACAGTAAACATCACCAAAAGGAAAAAAGAAAAAGTGAACTGACTCGTGAACGAAGAACCCGGCCAACGCCAGGATAAGAAGGGTGCTTTCATCGGAGCTTTTACCGTACCGCACCAACAATATGGAGAGAGCAAAGCCATAGTAAGATCTTGCGATTCGAAATCAAAGAAATTGGACCTAGATTTGTGGTCTCATTACCACCAAAGAAATCCGAAACTCTCCTTCAGTTTGCTGAAAGCACTCTTAAGTACGATAACTGCGAGGAAACTCTCACGGTCTTCATTGTCCAAACCAGTGGAGCTGAACTTGCGGGACGCATGCTACATGAAATATATGCGCTTCTTTTTATCATGTGCCACGTGGAACAAAGATAAAGTTACACGAGTGTTTGTTATGTGTACTTCTAAATATTTAATTAAACTATTGTGATTTATATTAAGAAAAAATTAGGAATGAATCTCTTGTTAGAAAATTAATTGGCAAATAGAACTTAAAAATGTTGTTTTATTGTGTGTAACTTAATATCCTTTATATATAATTTATATTATCTTATGTGTAATAATCTTTCTTTGTGTGGTGTGCAAGTCAATCTTCTCTATGTGCAAGTTAATCTCTTGTATACAAATAATGTTTTGTACAAACCATCTTCTTTTTGTGCAATTTACCTTTCTTGTTATGCAACTAATCTTTTTTTGTGCAATCAATTATCCTACAGACTATTTGCCAATTAAATTTGCAACAAGGGATTTATTCTCAATTTTTTTTAGTTTATCTTAGTCGTGAAATAGATTTATAATTCATATTTATTATATTTTTCCCTAAAAATATGGAAACAAGCATTTAAGAGATTTGAAGCAGGACCAGTTCAAATAAAAAATCTCTCTCCTTTATGATTGTTTTCCCGATCCGAGATTTGAATTCCCCGTCTACTTAAGAAATATACTGCACCCATTCTACTTAACCAAATCATAATCATCAATAATACCAACAAATTTAGGCCTGGTTTAAAATCACAATAATAATCATTCACATTTCATAAGACAGAAACAAAATTCATCTCATATACTTATCTTATATAAAGCATTCCAAACAATAAGAATTTAATTTGGAAGCCAAAGCTTGAAACAAAATCATCAATAATAAATTTAAAGTTTTTAATTGTAAGATTTTTTTTAATTTTTTTTTTTTACTGAAATATATGCCTTGTTCACGTAGAAACGTTGCTTTTATATGTAATCACTGTAAGTGTTAATATAAAATCAGAACAAAACACGCTTCATACATTATGAGGACCGTAACACATCGCCAACCCTATCCAATTAAAAACAAATGTGTTTGGCAGTAAACGGATTAAAAATGCTTTTCTAAAGCTCAATGAAAGTCACCCCCTGAACACTTTGCAAATGTATGCTGCGTAGTAAAGTAATGTGATTTTAATAGCGGCAATTGAAGCGTCCTTGTATTTTACGCTGAACACATATGCAAGGCAGAGTGAAAAGTGGTAAAACCAACTGGAAGCCACCAAAGAGATTTTCATCGCCTATCATAATTTGATATACTATTTCCGGTCCTAATTATAACTATAAAAACTAGTTAAGTTAGTTGTTTATAATAAATGTGTTGTATTTCTTAAAATATCTTTGCTAATTAAATGTATTGGTTATAACTACCATTGTTAGGAATACTATCTTGGAAAAAAATGTATAAATATGAGAGACAAAGTGGATTTGGGTCTCATATTTATGACTAAAATAAAAGTCAAACAAGATCTTATATTAAGGACCGGAGGTAGTATTAAACTAATCTCAAAAATCGGGCCAAAAGAAAATCTAATCTCAATATTCAAATTGAGGGAATTCATAAATTATGATAACGGAGGTCAAAGAATGTGGGGAAAATCATCCCCAAATATTATAGGATTAGATTCTCTGTATCCCTAAAATGTGACTGCAGAGAATCAAATGAACGGTTACTATACATGGCTATAAGAATATGTTGGGCTACATTAAGAAGCTAGAAGAGAGACAGGAAACAAGGAAAAAAGTATTAGTATAGCTATCATACAATTTGAAGATGCAGAATGAGCAATGTTGAACGGTTCAGATAGGTGATGATCCCCAGCTCCTACAAGATTGTTGCCAATAGCCATATATGCAAGAGCAGCGAATAACAAATGAGTCCTAATCTTGCCCTGGGACGACTCATGAGAAGCCGACCACCAGAAACCCTGCAGGAAGAAATTTAACCCCAACTTAGTCTTTCAATCCATCTTAGTCTGTTTTAAATACTGATTAAATTATTCCTAGACTTGACCATTTGATTTTTTGTCTCAGGTGCTTGTTGAGGTAGAGGTTAGAACATAAAAGTTTTTGGCAGCCACCCATAACTCTCACCACTAGATTAGACCACCGGAGGGGCCTATAGTCTAAGATTCAGGAAGTTCTTACCATAGTACCCAAGTCTATATGACCAAGTATTTTAGACTTTCGGATTTGGTCCTTGCTATTCCCTGACCCTTAAAGTTTCAGTATATAATATGATGAGCCAATGTTTCATCTACACATCAAGTCCTAAAAGCTCACGGTTGAGAACCCATCAGATATATGTATTAAATCATTCCTGGACCTTCATTATCAGCCTAAACTTTTCGGGTTGATGTGATCATTGAGGTTCTCTAGACTCTTTTCACCAGGAAGAGTGTGAGGGCACTTGTCTTTCAAATATCTCTACTATATAACTATACGAAGCATTTTATCATTTCCCCCCATAATGAATCTCAAGCCTGGATAAGTTTGGACTACAAAATACAGCAGGGTCTCCGTTATTTTGTTTTGGACTGTCTGTGGGGCATCTGTTAAGATCATGCAAATGGATATGAATTAGTCCAACAGCTCATGCTTCTATGTTTTACCATCCTTGATCCTGCCTCGTATGTTCATAGATTGGCATTGTGTTAGCCAATAAAATGTTAAAAGAGGCAATTACCAATATGCTTTCTTTACCACTGACAGAAACTTCAATTAGACAATATAGAACTTTACCAGATTCCATCAATACGATCTGCCATGAACTTTCCTTGTTTCGGCACAAATCCTGATGTGTTCAGCGACTTAAAAACATGACCTGCATAGCAGTAGATAGTTGAGTCTTCAAGCTTTCGTTAAGCAGTTCTGGTGTGATAAACTTACAATTACCTTTATCCTCATCAGCGTCAGCACTGCTGATTAAACGATTAGATTCCCCGTCAATATCAAGTGCGAGATGGTCAGTAGATCCTTTTCGCATATTTCGCACAAGTGCAGCTGATGGGGCAGGAGATATGACATTCTTGCCAAGTGATCCCTGCATAATAAAGACATACAATTTTACATATGCGTTTCCTCACACAATGTATAAAAGTATTCCAATATTTTAAAGCCGACACAACATCTCAAGCAATCTCGAGTTATATCAGCATTGAGAAAGGATGAGGAAATGGAAACCATCTGAAGCGAACTCCTCTATTGACAAAGCTCACGGAGATATAAAACTAAAGACAGAGACATGAAAAGAACACTTGGAACCATCCAAATGGTGCCCAGTAAATCTCAATAACAATTCCAGAATACCAATGTCAACACAGCACCCTTATTTGTAGAACACATAAGAAAGCTTAAAAACTTCCTATTAAACTGAATCAATAAAACATGCTTTCTGCAAATATCGATGTTATTCCCAATTAGCGCAACTGTACACAGAATTTTTGAAAGTTCAAATAAGCCGTTAACAAACTAGTCCAGATCCACTACATCAAACATTGTTTTGTTATTTAAACAACAAAGTGTGCAAGTTGGCTAGCAATTACACAGCAGTTGTACATACAAACAAGAAGCATTGCTTGAAACCGCGTGTGCATAAGTGCATATATTCGTAAGAATATAATATGTCATGCCTAACAATTCAACAGAAGTTCAAACCGGAGTTAAAAGCCTAGTTTGTTATATATATAAATATATATATATGTATGTATATGTATATATATCTGTTTTAACCATTAGATTTAAATACTAGAGTAGCCTAACAAGCATAAGGAGTACTATAGAATACACATTTGAACTTCAATAATATATATATACACACATCTCTGTTTTAACCATTAGATTTAAACACTAGAGTAGCCTAACAAGCATAAGGAGTACTATAGAAAAAACATTTGAACTTCAATAATATATATATCTCTGTTTTAACCATTAAATTTAAACACTAGAGTAACCTAACAAGCATAAGGAGCATAGAATAAACATTTTAACTTCTATAACTTGACCTGGCACCATTATTGCATCAACGAATAAATTAAGTTTAAAATTAACTGTGAGTACCTCTTCAACTTCAGATATCTCTGATCCCCCAGGTATTGAGGGTGTTTCGAATAAACTCCTTTCCTGGACAACCTCCGTCTGAGAGGTCTTACCATCAAGTGAGCCTTCAAGCAATCTAACCTTGGTTGTTAATTCATCAATAAGTTTCTGACTTCCAACCAACTTCCCACCAAGTTCTGTGGCTTTTGACTTTGCACTTTCAGATTCTAAAAGAATGGCCATAACCTGCTTTTCCAATAGTGGTATCAATTCATTCAGACCAGTAGATTTTGTATCTCCAACCCAATCACTGGCTCCCAACATACCGAGAATTTTTTCCAAAGCAAAGGTGCACCCAGACAACTCATTTTTCACCTTGTCCAAGTCCTCCCAGTTACAATTAAACTGTTTCACTTCCTCCTCCAGATGTTTAATTTCAAGATCCTTAGTTGCAACGGTTCTTTGAAGTTCTTCTTCGGCATGGGACAAAGAACTCATCTGGTGATGCAGCTGAATAACATTATCAATGATGCTAAAGAGCTTCTTTACAGGAGCCGAAGTAGTGGGTTCCATATCTTCTGCTGAATCTGAAAAGGGGATTTTGATCCTATCAATCTTACCAAAGAGAGTTCTAACCTGTGATTCTGAGAGAAGGGAGTTTTCTGCCTCTGAAATAAAACACATCAAATCATAAACAGGTGAATCAACATCTGCAAATTCAATGAAAAAATAAACGAAGTATTAGCAAATAATCAGATCAATAAAGATTTTGACGTTTACCTCCTTGTTTTGTTGACAAAGCACTGTTCAATGATGATATCTCTTTTTCTTTTTCCTTTAATGTTTCTTCTAGGGCATGATAACCCTCTAAGTTATTCCTCAGCTCACTACATGATTTTTTTAATACTTGGATATCAGACTCCAGTTGCAAAACTCTGTTTTGACTAAGGTCTCTTTCTCTTATGACCTCTTCAGAAGCAGCTCTATTTTCCTTCAACTGATTCTGCAAATCTTCAACCGTTCTGTCTAATTTCTTACTTTGGGATTCAAAATTTCGAATCAAATACTGTGCTTTCCTACTAGCAGATATCAACTTCCGTGCAGTATCCATGTATTTGCTGTTCTGATTATACTTGGGCAGTACATCTGCATCAAGGTTCATTGTCTCAAAAACAGAACCAGGTTCCACAAGGTTCTCGTGAACTACAGATTGAAGTTCACAGGAAGCATCAGCACAAGCAGAAAACAGGACTGTGATATCATTCTGCAAAGTGGCAATAGTATTTTCCTGTTCTGCTTTTAAACTTTCCCCAGCATTTACTTCGTCTTTAAGGGTTTCCAAGTGCTCAAGGATACTTACTACATCAGTCTCTGTTTCCAGTAGTTTTGTCTGAAGAAGAGAAATAAACTTATCAATAGAATCAGAAAAATCATCAAACCTATCTGCAATATTTTGTTTCTCAGCCGAAACCCTTTCACAATGTTTCCAAATTGTGAAATCACATCGTCAATATCAGTGCCATTCATCACTCTACTGTCCACTTCAACATCATAATTCTCAATGCCACCAAAGGATGCTTTTCTCACCAAGGGATCTTCCTGGAATAAGCAAGATGGAGTATTAAGAAACATGTGCCAAAGTAATATACAGATAGACAGAACTAAAAACTTCAAAACAACATAAGTACTGATCTATGAAAACATCATGCAATTCTCAACTAAGTACTCCTCTACTCCTCTAATTCATTGTTTATTAATCTGGTTCAGAACAAAAAGAAAATGGGAAAAGAAAGGAGAAAAGGGAGAAACAGAGAAAAAGATGGAAGGAGGAAGTTGAGAAACAAAAAAATTGAGAAGTTGGGATAGAAAGTAAATAATAGCATTTGAAAATTCAACTAGTCTGGTCTGGAGTCTCCTAACGTACTTTTCTCAGGAGCTATTTATAGTAAGCCCATAATAAGAGAGTACAATAAATGAAAAGACAGGAAAAAAATTCTTCTAACGCTAGTATTTCCTATAATATTCCATTATTTCCATCTTAATCACTTGCTACACATGAAAGTATATATAATTCTGTCTAACAAGATTGTATTCCACCTCCAAGCCTAGTACCATATGTAAAGCCTCAAGTGCCACGTACATGAAGGTCATAACCAGAATAGCACTAGCATGCATGAAACAAGAAGTGACGTAGAGAAAAGGAATAGCATACATGGAGTTCATAACCAGAATAGCATGCATGAAAAAGAAGCAATGGAGAGCAAAGGAGGAAGTACTACCTCCACAATATGGTGTCTTCCAGTATCTTTGGCAGTCATGCCAACAGGATAGTCCCTTATTTTGTTCAGAATTAGATCCATATCCTTTAAAGCCTCAAACTTTGTCGCAAAGCACTGTTCTACTTTGGGAAGTAAAATGTTATCTTTCAAAAGCACGATAAGATCATTTATAAGTCCTATGAGCTCCATAGACCTGTTTTCCGAGCTACCATTCGTTCTAGATAACTCGTCCAAGCATGAATTTAACTTGAAATTGACTGATGATATCTCCTCTTTAGCAGTTTTATTTGCATCTTCCAGGACAGAGATATTATTTTGTGCCTTCAACAATGTATCTTCCAGTGTTTTTATAGTTGCAGAGGCATCTATCAATTTGCTAGCCTGATGCTCAGCTTCATCTTGCAGCTTCTTCAACTCACTCTCCATTTTGGTTTTAACAACTTGGTCAGCATCATATTTTTCTCTCAATGCATTGACACTACTCTCAGCCTGAGATAGTGTATCTTCTAAGTCCTTTATGGTTGTGCCGGCCTCTGCTAGCTTGCTCGTCAACCCGGCAGCTTCTTCTTTAACTCTTTCTAGCTCAGTCTCTGCAGCAGCTCTTACGGTTTGAGCCATCTCTTTCTCATTAGAAAGAACGGAAATATCTTTTTCTGCCTGAGATAATGCAGCTCTCAGTGACATTGTAGCCTCACCTACGTCCGCAAAGTTCTTTATGGTTGCACCGGCCTCAGCTAGTTCACTAGCCAACCTGGAAGCTTCTTCTTTAACTTTATCCAGTTCAGTCTCCGTGGCAGCTCTAGTAGTTAGAGCCAACTCCTTCTCACTGGCCATAACAGCAATATCTTTTTCTGCTTGAGATAATGCAGCTCTGAGTGACACAGTAGACTCTCCAACCCCTTCCAAGTTCTTTATGGTTGTGCTGGCCTCTGCTAGTTCGATGGTCAACCTGGTAACTTCTTCTTTAACTCTCTCTAGCTCAGTCTCTGCAGCAGCTCTACCAGTTTGAGCCAGCTCTTTCTCAATGGAGAGAACAGAAATATCTTTTTCTGCCTGAGATAATGCACTTCCAAGTGATAAAGTAGATTCAACAGCCCCCTGCAAGTCCTTTATGGTTGCACTGGCCTCTTCTAGTTTACTGGTCAACCTGGCAGCTTCTTCTTTAACTTCCTCTAGCTCAGTCTCAGCAGCAGCTCTTCCAGCTTGAGCCAAGTCTTTCTCATTGGAAAGAACAGCAATATCTTTTTCTGCCTGAGATAAAGCATTTCTAAGTGACAAAGTAGATTCAACAGCCTCTTGCAAGTCCTTTATGGTTGTGCTGGCCTCTTCTAGTTTACTTGTCAACCTGGCGGCTTCTTCTTTAACTCGCTCGAGCTCAGTCTCTGCAGTGGCTCTGCCAGTTTGAGCCAAGTCTTTCTCATTGGAAAGCACAGCAATATCTTTTTCTGCCTGAGATAATGCAGCTCTAAGTGACATAGTAGACTCGCCCACATCTTCCAAGTCCTTTATGGTTGTACTGGCCTCTGCTAGTTTGCTTGTCAACCTGGCAACTTCTTCATGAACTCTCTCTAGCTCAATCTCCGCAGCAGCTCTGCCAGTTTGAGCCAACTCTTTCTCACTGGAAAGAATAGCATGTGCTTCTCTCACTTTACGTAGTTCCTCCTCAACTTCAGCTTTCCCAAGTTCTAACTCCCTTTTTTCTTCAGCTGATAGAGAAAAATTGTTCTCTGCAGAAGACAATGCTTGTTTAAGGGATTCTACAGTTGCTTGGGCTTCTGCTAATTTGCTTTCCAGGTCATTGGCTCCCTCTTTTACTAGCTTCAGCTCTTGCTCAGCATGTAGCTTTGCATCTTGGCATTCACTGACAAATCCAGCAAGCCACTTCACCTTTTCAAGAGGTTCTTCAAAAACTGAATCAACAGGAAGATGAATCTGATCAATAGACTCTACCGCTCTCTGTAACAATTTATTGATATGTAACAAGAGCTGCTCAAAGTGATTCCTTTCACCCTTTACTGATTTAAGCTCTTCCTCCAATTTTGGGATGCTTTCTACATCAACGGACAATTTATTAACCTGGTCATTGTACTCAGAAACTACAGATTCTTGCTTCTGCAAATCAAGCTTTAGCTGCTCAATCTCCAAGTTCTTTTCATTTATAAGATTTTTTAGATTTTCCCTATCTTGAACCAATCCTTTCCCTTTCTTAACTGCCATGGATAACTTATCCTTAAGAATAGCAGACTTCTCCTCTGATCGGTCAAGATCTTTCTGTAGAGAACTCTGTTCTGCTTTCAGCACATGAATTTCATCTGAAGCTGTTTTCAAGTCATTTGCCAGTTTATTCACCTCTGATCTAATCACCACCTCTTCTTCTAGTATATCCTCACAGAGCATCAGCCTCTGATCCCTAACATATAAGTGACTTTGAATTCTTTCAATTAAATCCGTATCAATATGAGATGACCTAGAGAAATGACCACTCTGTTCTTTTATCATTTGAAAGCAATGGTTAATAATCATAGATGTGTCAGGAGAAACATCAATTTCTTCAGCCTTCATGTTATAGCCAGAAAGCTCAACTACCATTTTCACAATCTGTTCCTTCTCCCCCAAAACCCGATGATTCATTTCAATAATCTCTTCATAATCGCATCTCAACTCAGTGAATTCTGACTGATAGTAATCTTTCTCCAGTGATTCTAACAAAAGGGATGCACTCAAGAAATCAACACAGTTGCGGGCTTCTTCTTTAATTGTAGAGATTTCTTCCTGCAGAATATTTGTATCATACATGGCCTTAGAATAAGAGTTACCCAGCCAATTTATCTTAGACACCAAATCAGATGATGAGACAGATTCTGGTAGATTTATCAGAGATAGAGCATCCTTCAATTTGCAGAACTCTCGGAACGCACTCTTGAGGGCATCTCTGTCATCCACAATCCAACTTAACCTCTCCAACATATCCAAATTAGGAGTATCAGATTCAGTCTGAGACAAGATTTTCTCGACTTGCTCAATAATTGTGTTACTTCGTAGTAATGAATTCTGCAGGGATGCAGCCAAATTTTCACTTTGAACCAACTCATTCTTGGTAATTCTAGAAGCTTCTAGCTCAGCACACTTCTCCTGCAACTCAATCAAGCATTTCTCATACTCACTGGACTTTTGCACCAGAGATTGCTTTAATGAGTCCCGCTGCTGTACCAATGCCTTTCCTTTTGTCACAGCCATACCAAGTTTTTCTTTGGTATTAGCACATTTAACCTTTTCCTGCTCAAGTTCTATTTTCATATTTCCAATTTCTGCATTCAATGTTCCTATCATCACCCTTTCCTTGTCAAGCTCATCCATTAGTTTCTGATTCTCGCCTTCTAGGTGAGCAAGTCTTTCACCCAATTCTGCTTCCTTTCTTTTGAACTCCAATAATCCACCACGAGCAGCAGCAAGTGTGTTCCCCTGTTCCTCGTACCTAGCATCCAACCCAACCTCAGAGAAGGAATGCCCAAGTTGATAAATTTCAGAAAGAATGTTATTATATTTTGCAGTTAATAATGCAGTGCCTTCCTCAATATGAACTATTTTTCCACGAATAGTATTATCTAGAAGTTGGTCTTGACTCACAACTGTTGCAAGAGAGGACATTATTCTATCTACTACAATATCAATCTCTGACGATAATTCCAGAGTCTTCTGAGCTGAGTCATCATGGGAGACCAATAACTCAGTAACCTTTGTATTGAGATTTTCTATCTGGTGATCCTTATCAGAAAGAACAGCATGCAGATTTCTAATAGTTGCCTCAGCACTGGATCGTTCCTCTTTAGTTGTTCTTACAAATTCCAAACATTCTTTGATCATCTTCTTTAACGGAATCTCAGCCAGTTGAGCCTCCTTATCCATCCCTCCAGCTTCAGCTTCATCTGGCAATGACTGTTGCCAGGACAGAGCCTTTAGTTGACAATAAATATCAAATACTCCTCGGGCAACGGTTTCTTGCTCTTCCTGCATCACAGAAACGATCATTAATTGAGAATAAACTGCACCTGCAAAAGCCGGTGTTAACCTTATAAGCCGAACCTTATATTCCCGCGTATTACTTTCTTTCTCAGCAACCGTCTTCGCCACTGATTCATCTCCTGCCCCATTGTCCGGTTTACCGAAATGAATCCGCTGATCTTCTTCCAAGTTCAGTCTACTTTCTCCAGCATCTGTTTCTTCCTTAATATCAGTTTGCCTGCCATCAAACGTGCCTAACTCATCTGGGCAATCAACAAACATATCATCTCTCGCAGTATCCTCACTAGATTTAGCATCATCGTGGTCTCCCTGTTCAGGACGCCCAAAAATCCCATTATGAATGTTAGCATGCTCAAAATGCGCTAGCCAGGGGATAAAGATGTAAGGAAAATTGATGTTCCATCTCCAAAAGAATATAATAAATTAAAACTTGATTGACATCATCACTACCTGATTCATTGTTTCCAGTGCGTTCTCGGGAAGTGTGGCCACCGTAACGTCGTCATGATGAGTGTGAGTGGTGGATTCGAATGGTAATTCGCTAACTCCATTTGATTGTTCCACTGAATTAGCAGCTGTGGATGCACTAAAATCCGAAAGGTTCCCCTCAATCCCTTGCTCGGTAGCTCCATGACCTTCCAACGGCTGTTCTGCAACGTTATTCTCAGCCATTTCAAACGGTCATAATCGAATCGCCACCGAAACAAGATTCGGATCTGCAAAAAGGAAATCCCTACACAATTAGAATCCAAAGCCAAGACTCAATTTTAAAGTTAACCAGGCAGAGAAAAAACAAACTACCGAAACCCTAAAATTGGTTCGCCGAAAATGATGTAAGAACCGGAATTAGGGGTGTGGAATCGAACGTTAACGTTGGGTGGCACCACCAGATCGTGATAACAGATAAAGCTGTGACTCGTCGTTGACTTTGTTGCTGAATTCACACAGTCAAAACAGGAACAGTTGGAAGTTATAATTTCGAAGACCCAAGAGATCAGATCCGCAGGTGATATCACAAAAGTGTCGTCTATTTTCTGAGAAATTTTTAATTCGATTTATACTCCATTGAATTACTATCGCACAACAAGATCACTTGGATGAAGCTTTTTTTTTCCCCAACAAAATCAAATTAAAATATTAAATTAAAAATGATGTAAGAGAAGTTCGTTTCAAGCCAATCTCTAGCTCAATTAGAAATGCCTCATCTTCTTAGGATGTTTTTAACGTTCTCATAGAATCGAACTCAAAACCTCGCATCTAATAAGTGATCAGAGCTCGTTCCACTATGAGAGTCCAGGCACACTTGAATGCATTACTGTTGATAGACTTAATGTTGAAGTTCTTACTTTGCATTACTGTTGATATGATCACACCCAAGTTAATAAAAGTGTTTACCCCAATCCAACCAAAGATTCGATCTTATTTTACCTTTTCTCATGTTAGAAGCAATAGTAATTAGTTCTCTTCTGGATATATAAAGTTCTTATGTTTATGTTTAGAATCGGAAGAGTATTTTCTTTGGTCTAAAAGTAATTACGTTCCAGTGATGTCCGTCTATGATGTGTGAACATGTTCCATTATCAACGGTCACGTCCAAATTGCTTCGGCGCTTTTTGTGTATAGTATTGAGAAAATAACTCTGGGAATTGTGAATATCTTATTGGAAAAAAAGTCTCTCTACTTTCTTTGTTCTCTATCCCTATCTATTTATAAAATACTTGTATTATTATTTTAAATTATCATGGCTAAAATTTAGTTATTTTATTTTATTTTTTAAAAAATAATATTTTATTAACAATTTTATAAAATATAAAACCTAAATTTTAATCTCATGTTTAAAATGAAAAAAATGAGAAGTGGATAGAAGTGGTGGAAAAGAAAAGTGGAGTGCTTCTATTATATGTGTTTGAACTCCCGTCTTCCTTTTGATGATCTTGTTGAATTAAAAGATGGGAGTTTGTTGTATGGGGGACCGGAGTTTAGTGTAAAAATGATGTTCATCATACCCCTCATCTATGGATTCAGCTGGTGAAAAGATTGGGCTCTCTCATTAAAAAGAAGGGGTTTGATCCTGAAGAGTGCCATTTATTAGGTCAGGAAAAAAAAAAAAAGCTTGCTTGTCATGTTTTTTTGCCCATAAGGTCAGGCCCCAGTGAATCAAGTATTAGTTGCCCTGTCTTTGGATGGTGGATGAGTCTAACCCCTTTTCTAAAATTTTACAATAAAAAAATGATATTCGTCATAATTTAAAAAGTTTATTAAGTTAGTTATTATAATAAATAGGTGTGATCCTTCTTAAAATACCGTGGAACCACATATTCATTAATTACAATAATAACTTCCTCTAATTCTTTTATACGGTGGAATAAAATGAAAATCCAACAATTCCCTTATAAATAGGGGAATATCACATGAACATGAAAAAACACGTGTAATTCAAACCTCATTAAACTTTTGCCGCGGCTGAAGCCTATTGCCGTCGGTTGTCAAACATTGAGCCACCATTGTCATTAAGCGCTTTCATGGAGAGGATGAAGATGAGGAGTGTTTTTGCCTGAAATTATAGAGAGCATGATCGTTTTCATCCATATTATAATTTTGAGACAGTAAGTGACATTTATATGTCTTTTGAATTGGGTTCCATTCCCACCACCTTCTTCCAAAGTTAATGAACAAGAATTCTCATTCAGTGTGCTTGTTATGATTCCTACCATTCAAAATCTGATAACAACAATTCAAATTTAAAATTTTTAATTTTTAATTCTTTCAAATTTATAAAAATTTTAGAAAAAATTTTCAAAAAAAAAAGACCGTTGAGTTTAAAATTTTCAAATCAGGAATTACTATAAAAATATATTGTCATTTGCTTTTCAAAGGTGGTTATATTCTTTGCAAGTGTGAGATTTGAAATTTTGAAATCTAATAATTATTCTTTTCGTGATTTTTTTTCAAAATTTTATAACATTCGGAGTCATTAATAATAAGATTTGTCTTCTAAATTTTGGGTCATATATAAAACACATTCGGACCTTGTTAAAACCCCCCAAAAAAACAGCAAATTCCAAAAAGACCTTAACTTGGAGAAAATAGGGAAATTGAAACTTTTTTTTTTTGGGTTTTTTTTGGGGGGTGGGGGTTGAGAATTTTTGGTTGGACGGTTTTGAGCGTGGGGCTGGGTTCATCACTGGATAGATGTGATGCGGGGGGTGAGTTATGAAACTTTCTGGTGCAAACTGTAAAGAGAGAGCATATTTAATGGAGCCAGTTTTCTGAAAAACACCTTCTGAATACAATGCCCACCTGCTTTTTCATCACAAGCATCATAATAAATGTAATGTTTAGGATTAATGGGATTTGGTGCGTTCAACACTATGAATTACTTTGTCATCTCACACCCTAAAATATTTATTCAGAATCTTGAAATATTTTTTTAAAGATGTGTTCATCAATTTAGAATATTTTATAATATAATTTTATTCTTAAAGTATTGATCTTTTTAGGAGCAACAGCACGAGCAATCTTAATCTTGTCATTTACCGATCAAGAACTTGCACCTAAAGTGTTGTTTTAGTATTTTTTTAAGATATTGGACTCGCTTAAGAAAAAAAACTCCTCCGGTTCTAAATATAAGACTCATTTCGTAGTGTAAATTACATTACAAAAGGAGTCTTATATTTAGGACCAGAGGAGTACTTTAAGAATTACTTATTACTAAATACTTTAGAGTATAAATGCATATAAAAAAAGTACTTATGTCCTAGATGCACCTTAATCCAAAATTAACTCGCTCAAAAGTAAACATTCCATCCAAACAATGCCATGTCCCTCTTTTAATGAGGGTTTAAATTATGAGATGAAGATAGTTAAAAAAATAAGATTAATGAAGATAATTTGGAAAAACATATTGAATAAGATATACAACGAAGATTGATATCCTATATTAACTAAACATAATAAATATTATCTTCTTTTTTTTTTAGCACTGAAATATTATCTTCAATAGTTCAAATTCTTAAAGGACTTTGTCATCGTGTTTTAAATATAAAATACGATTTATATACAACTTAAATTCTAAAAAAAATTATACGCAATTTTACATAAGTCATGTAAAATATTTAGAAACTTGATTATGAATAACAACATATTTTGATATTAATTTAAATTCAAATTGAGTCAAGATTTAATTGAGAGAAACTCTCTCAATAGTTTTTTTTTGTTTATAAGGTTTTAAATAAAAATTTATTTAAAAGGTGTGGAAAATTTTCCACTCATGGTGGCCTTGGAATTATTGGGACCATCATTTCAGGAGGTGGAGCCCTGGGGCAGGTGAGGGAGGCCTCAGACCGGGGGAACGGGGTGGTGATATCTATACAAAAGCTACAGGATTAATGTAATATTTGACGGCTTAAATTTATTTTTATTTTAGTTTTAATTTTTTAAGTTTAAAATTATCGTTTTAGTCTCTCAAATCTCAAGATAAAATAGTCTAAGTTTTTTAATTAATTTATAAATATTAATATTTTAAATAAAAAATTGAATCACTAAAACTTACGATTTGAAATTTAAGAGACTAAAACCAAAATTAGAATAAATTTAAAGAACCAAAACTGTATTAACTCAAAGTTATATTATAAATTGTTTAGAAATTTGATTATCAATTGCCCTTTTTTTTCTTTTTTACAAACTATCCATCATCCACAATTTTTTATTTAGAAGGCTCTCTCAATATATTTTTCACTCATAATGTTTGAGCTGGATATTTTATTCAAGAGATATTAAGATTTTTACCATTCAGCCTTATTTTATACTGCCTTCGAACCCCTATATAAGGTACATATAATCAAATTATGCAGATAAAAAAATGTGATAAAAATTAGTTATAAATAATAAATATAAAAATGTATTTTATTTTTAAAAAATACTCTTATTGGTAACAAGAGTGAATGAGAGATAGAGGAGCCGAAAAAATGTGTGAAAAGTAATTAATATGGTGATATAATATAAAGTCAATGAGGCAAAAATTAAAAAAAGTGTTTTTAAAATTCAAACATCCTTTAAATACGTGTTATAAATAGAACCATGCCTATCCAAAAATTATACTCCTCGGGTCCTATTATAAGCTAGAGAGAAAGTACTCATCCAATCTTAAATATCAGACTCATTTTATTATAGTCTAAAATTACACCACATAATAAGTCTTATATTTAAGATCAGATGAGTTTTTTTGGTAATATAAGTTACCTCATTATATTTATTATATTTAAAATTTTTCTTAATTCCAATAAAATAAGTCAAAATTATTTTATAAATAGGATTAGAGAAATATGTAATATTTAAGACACGAGGGACTGGTAAGTAAAAGCATTTGATTAATTAATTGTGAGAGCTTGACTATTCAAGATCCCACTAAAGAATGTAACTTTATTGGATAAGATAGTGGCCGAAAGTGGAAATAGTCAATTCCGCGGAAGGGCCAAGTGGCAACAGATTTCACGGAAGAAAATAATAATGGAAATAGTCGGCAGCAGCTGGCAGGGGCACCATTTGAATATTGAGCATTAGAAATGAACACAAAAGTTGAACCAACATTTATTTATTTTTTGGACTTACACACTAAAAAAGTCAAAAACACTATTAGTGAACCTCAACCCCAACTAACAAATCACCAAATTGAGAGGGGTGTTCGGTGGGTACGGAACAAATATTGTGAGAATTCCCTAACGCCTGATAGTATTCTGAGAAATTAATCTTTCACTGTTTGGGTGGGAGGATACTCTAGACAAAAAAAAAAACAAATCACCAAATTGATCTCAGTCAGTTCATTGTAGTACTCCTACTCCAAAATTAATTCAAATCTCATCTCATATAATTTTCTGATAAAATAAAAACTTAAGTTTCCAAACCATCTAATATGGTAATTAGGTCTTATTTATTTTTATAATTTTATAATTATTATTCGCTAGTTTTTATGTTTTTAAGAACTTGAAATGTTTCTATGTATATTTTATTGAATACAAAGTTTAATATCTATATATATTTATTTATATAACCAGGGGTGATTGGGTTGAGTAGAAGAGAATCAATTTTCTATAAATGAGAGCAAAATTTTGAATATTGTAAATTAAAAAAAATCATGTTATGAGAGTTACCCTAAATTATATTTCACAATGTGGTAATCTGACATCATGGTAGCTAATATCATATACTTATATTGAAAAAACTGTATATATATATATATATATATATATATAGAAGCGTAATAATGATATATAATGTCACATTTTTCTGTACACTCCCTCTCTAAATATATGAATGAACGCATAGAAAAAATCGATCTAACTTATATATTTTCCAACAATTGGTAGGATATTTTATTTGGTGGGGAAAATATCTGCCATGGAATGTGCATCGTAATTTGCTCACAGATCAACCATGGAAAAAAAAAAAGTAATATACTGTTGCTAAAAAGGTTCAAATTTTAAATTTATTATTTTTAAAAAATAAAACCCATAATTAATTATTTTTGGCCAACAAACCTATAACTAACCTATAATTAATTATCTGTACAATATAATATTGTAATTAAATAAAAATTATTATACAAGAATACTGGTCTATAATATGTTAGTTAAACTTTTTAACAAGCGAAGAAATATTAGTTAAATCATTAAATATGTTTTAAATTTATAAAAATTATGTATTTTATAATTATTAAATAATATGATTGGAAAATACTCTTCCTAGTTGTAATAAATGGCTAAAAGTGAAAAATTATCGTTAATTACTGCGTAAAATTTTTATTATAATTTTGATTAAGAAAAGAAGTAGTTGAAAATGAAGGCGTGTGTAAGGATGAATACGTGTAGATTCGCAGCGAAGACATGGTAGATTGCAGAAGAGACATTCTAAAAGAGAAGGGTTAATGAAACCGAAAGGAGGAAAGCAGGTGAGGAGATCATTAATGACAGAAAGAGAAGGCATCCTTTTCTTTCCTTACAGGCTCCATATCTCTGATCATTAAGCAAACTTCTTCGTCAATTTCCTCTTCCTCTTCTTCCTCCTCCTCTGCTTTTTATACAGGCACATATCCCCTTCTCTCTCTCTCTCCCCTATATTCCCCTAAGCTTCCTTCCATATATACACAGCAGAACCCATTCTCTCTCTCTCTCTCTCTCTGTGGGGTCTCTCTATTTGGCATAAAGTTTCAGACTTTTTGCAGAGAGAGAACAGAACTATCCTTCTTTTGTTGCTGGGGGCTTGATAATGTGGCAGAATCATCCCCATAAATCTTCTTCTTCTTCTTTAAGAGATTCTATTGTGGCTCTCGAAGCTGATATTCAGCATGCCAATATCCTGTGAGTTTTCTTCTTCTCCTTCTTCATCTCTCATCTTCTTCTTTCATTCTTGTTCTTGTTTTCTGGGTGTTCTGGGAAAACAGGCCATATTCTGTTATCATTCATGAAATTAAAGTAGCATTGCTTAATTTCTTATGCATTATCTACTTAATTAACACATAGTTCAATCCCAATTTATGATAGGGGCATTATGGGGAAAATTAATATTGGAAGAGGATTTAACCCTGGGATTAGAAAATGGGACTGTGATATTGCCCGCTGAAATGAAAGTACAGGTTAATTTCTCATAATATATCTCCAGCAATTATAATTTCCTTTTTGGCTTTATACATCCCCATTTAATATGTAACGTCATTAATCACACAGATTTTGTTGTTTAGTTAGGCACATGAGTTAAATTTGCACGAAAATTTACCCCTAAGAAAAAGGTTTTTGCATTTTCCTTTCTTCAAGAAAATTGTGTTTCAGAAAGAAATTGTGAGCCCGGTTGCATACGTAAGGGCCTGTTTGGAATGCAGTTGAGAAGCTCCAAACTGATTTTTGGACTCTTAAAAGTTAGTTGGAGTCAAAAGTTTTTACCGTTGTTCAGAAATAGTAACATTTTAGAGCTCAATAATTGAATTTTCTGAGGGGAGGAAAAGAAAATAGAGAAATTGATAACAAACGCGGAAGTAATTGTTTGCTTCATGAATTGGCAAGATAAGGTTCCAGCTAAAAATTTAGTCTGTAAAATGTTCATTCAGGTTAAAAAAAAATTATTGTTCATTTTCATAAATATTGGAATAAATTATACTCCATATGGTCCTTATTATAAAATACTCCTTTAGTCTTATTTGTAAAACAAAGAGAAAAAATATTTTTTGATCCTATTTATAAGGTATTAAGAAAATTTTTTTATATGAATGTACAATTTTATCTTTCATTTATTATTGTGTTTTGTTTACATGAAGTATGATGCACTTTAAATAGAGATAAAGTTAAAAAATTATTGAATTTTAAATAAGAGTTAATAAAATTTAAAGTTTTTCTTAGCCTGTGTGAAATATATTAAAGGCGACTTATAAATAAAACTAGAGAAATACCCTCTAGAACAAATTTTTGATCCTTTTTATAAGACACCATGATAGTTTCAATGAGCATCAAATATTACATGGCCATATTTAATAAGGGCAGTGAGGGAATAGAAATTACGAGTATGATGTTGGAATTTAATATAGTTAAGGAGGATGATATTAAAAATCACTTGAATTTTATGATAATTTTAATGATTTATACTGTTTTTATTGATATGTGTGAATTAGTTAGTAGTTTCTTATAAAAAGAACCAATGAGAGAGTTCTCCAAAAAAAAAAAACCAAAGAGAGTAGTATTTCATATATACCAATGTACTTCTATTCATCTACTTCTACAAATATGTATGGCTAAATTACGTGGCCTGGCTTTTTTTCTTGTGTAATTTGACTGTTTATATATAATTAATTATTAGGGTTTAGGGTTTAATGGTTATGTGATTTAATTTTAAATTATTGTGAAGTTTAATATTTATTTAATTTGAAAATTTCATGATTTAATTACAATGTATTTTTTTGGCCAAAAAAATTACAATATACTTTTGCAAACATGAAATTTAATTAATGTTTATATAATTATATGTGCTATTATTGATGATATCTTTGAAAAAAAAAAACAAAACAAAAACAAAAAATTACAGGGCGGCATCACTGCCAAGAGGTTATGGAGGGGACCACATTCAGATGAAACTATCATACAGTCCTTTGGCTCCTTTATTCCTTCATTTGATCCAATGGATGGATTTCACTTGTACCGATTCTCTCCCCACCTCTCTTGGCTTATTTCACATCCTCATTTACAAGGTTATTATTATTTCTCCTACCCTTATTTTCACCTTATTTGTCTTTTTTTATTTAGTCAGATAATTAATTTACATATATCTTAAAAAATGAATTATTTACAAAAATATGTGTTGATTTATATTATTATATTTAATCATTCATATAAATACTATCACATTAATAGAAACTCTTTTTAATATGCGGATCATATCAATCGAGATAATTTGAGAAAAGTTATGAATTTGAGAAGCAACGAATAATGTCTTATATTTAGAGTTAAAACAAATATCTCAAGTAACTCTTGCTTTTAATGATTGAGAGAGTAATATACATAGTGAAAAATCTGGCTACTTGAGTTTATATATTTAGTGGTTTTTTTCCTCTTAAGTCAATAGTTCCTAATTTAAAAAATAATTATGCAAAGATGGCTAGACTTATTTAAGAACTCGAGTGTAAATTACTTTTAATGAGTGCGACTCTCTCGCAGTTGTGTAATATATTTACAATTATATGTAAAATAAAATATTACTACTGTCGATTTTTAATATAAGAACTTGTTAACTAATTTGAGTAAATTAGACAAATTTGTTAAGTTAAGTATTTACAATAAATATATGTTATCTTTCTTAAAATATTCTTACTTACTGTGTGTATTAGCCAGAAATATTATTTAATGAAACTTTTAACATGTGTAACTATATTTTGAAAAAATAAATAAATATAAGAGATAAATATGAATTAGGATCTTATATTTAAAATCAAATTGAATATCAAATTAACTCTTATATTAAAAAAGAAATTACGATATCTGTATATAACTGAAAATGTGCTGTCTATTGAAGGAAGATTATAACTCCTTAACTACATTTGAAGAATTTATTTTGTAATCTTGGACTTTTCAACGACTTCCCTCTTCTCTTGCTAAGCAATTAAGGACATGTGAATTTTTTTCATTCATTATGTTCTCATTGGTTTGGTGGTCCAGGTGTACGGAGATGGATTGCCGTCCTTATCCTCCAAAGAAAGAAAAGCCTCCCTCAAGGATTTTTACGGTAATGACAACTTTTCTTCCTCTTTTTGCCCAACTTTTTCTCACCTTCTCCTGTTAATTTGCTCTCTTTGTGATTTATTACCAGCTTCAATTGTTCTTAATAAGGGTCTGTTTAACATGCAAAATGAAAGTAAAAAAATTAAAAATTAGATATATTTCATACATATATTGATATTTTTGTGGCCTTACAGGTGTAATATACCCATCACTGAGGCTACTTGAAGGGGAGTTAAAAGCACAAGAAGCTAAAGATAAAGGAAATAATCGAACACATCAAGTTGTGAGCAGAAAGAGCCCAAATAAGAAAGGGTTAGAAAATAAAGAACAAGAGTTGAGAGATGATGAATGTGGAATCTGCATGGAGATGAGCATGATCATGGTCCTCCCTAATTGTGGCCATTCCTTGTGCATCACCTGCTTCCATGACTGGTAATTACACTACAAACTAAATCTTATATTTAAAACTGAAAATAGTATCTGAGTATAAATATTTGATATTTCACATTTTAAAAGGTTCCAAAAAAAAAGCAAATAACATGTGAATTAAGTTAGTAACCAAAACTAGTTTTGGTGGGAACAAGTTTGGTTGTTCATCTCATCTAGACCGTCCGGATTTAATATCTTTCTTGTTTTATTTCTAGAATAATTATTTTAATAGATATAGGATCTAAAATAAAAATAATCTCTTAATTATTATTATTTTTTTAAAATGAATATTTTATTTAAAAATATTAATCTAGAATGTGGATGGTTGAGTGGGACCAAGGCAGTAAATGATGAACAAGAATGTGTGCAGGAATGTGAGATCAGAGTCATGCCCGTTCTGCAGAGGAAGCCTGAAGAGGGTGAGTTCAAGAGATCTGTGGGTTGTGATAGACGAGAGAGAAGTGGCTGACAGAGTCACAGTGGCAAAAGACAACCTCACACGCTTCTATCTTTACATGGAATCCCTCCCTCTTCTTTCTCACGATCCTCCTCCTCATCTCTTCCTCTTCAACTACATGCTTTGACTCCCTCTCTCCCTCTCTCTCTTCATTATTATCTGTATATATATAATACCAGTTTTCTTCTTCGGTCCCATTAATCATCATCAATATATATATATATATATTTTCAGGTCTCCCATCACATGTATTAATTTTTCAGTGAGAATATGAGATTATTCTCCGGGTTTATGCTTTGTAACTCAGCTTTTTGGGAACCTGGGTTCTGTGAGAATCTCTCTCTCTCTCTCTCTCTATATATATATATATATGAGTGCCCTTCCCTATGAAATTAGTGTTCATATAATAAATATATATCCATGTTTGATTTTCTCTTATTTACTCGTACATGAAGCGAGATAAATCATTTGCTTATAATATATATCACATGTTTTGTTTTTTTTTTAAGTTTTTCACTTGAGGAGGGCTTAAAGGCTTTTTTTGGTACTGCAAAGAAGTTATCTGCCGAGGAGAGGATGATATAGCTAGAAACGCATGGAAATACTGAATTTAATAATGGAAAAATTCTCGAGAAAGCAAGGTCAAGTTAGCTAAGAGAGGTTAGAAATATAAAAATTATCAACAAAAGAAAAGAATATAGAGGGCCTTTAATAAACATTAATTACCAAATATATTTCGGCTTAGTACATAAGACAGTTATTTTTAATGGAAAACTGTTGGCCAGAGAAAAATGGAAAACTTGTAAAGATGGATTGGGTTGCTTCTCTAAAAGAAGACTCGAAAACCGAAATAAAGATTAGTTGTTTAGTTTTTCTTCAGTGCCTGCGTTACTATTTTTTCTCTAAAATGGAGTATTAACTTTTTGCAACTTGAGAATTATCAAAATTTTGCATGTAACTTAAATTTAAAGGAATTATTTATGTGTAAAAATTAAATTTTAATATAAAATTAGGATTTTTTTGACAAGTTTAAAAATTTATTTAGATTATTTGTCTATAATTTAAAATTTATGGGTAACTGGGCTTGGGCCCTGAGTCTGAAAAAAAAAACTCAAAACTTTATGGAATTTGCATACAACTTGGTAAACATTTTTAGAAAAATAAACTAATTTAAATAACTGAAACATGAATAAAAATATGAGCATAAAAGTATAAAATTAAAAAAATATAAAAAATTACTCATTCCTATCCTAAATGTAGAAGCTAGTTAAGTTGAGGTGTTTATTTTAATCATGAATATAAAATTTATACTCACTATCCCCACTAATTGCATATATTAAATGAATTCAATTTAAAAATTACAAAAGCAGGATTAAAACTTTTTAATTAATTTTCTTATTTTTTTTCTTACATCTTCTTTATTAAAATTTTACAATCCTAATTTTTAAAAATCAAACGCATGAAAATTTTTCCCCTCCATTTTCTTCTATTTCACTCATACCAAATACTACTTTCGGTTCTAATTATAAGATATTATTTGTAGACTATAAATGAGATCTTATAATTAGGTTGTAGGTGGTATAAGATTAGAATTGAAAGGAGTAGTGTGTTTATCTATTATTTATATATACATTTTTAACAATATTCTGTTGGAGGATCTATCATCTTTTATTTTGGGGGAAAAAGCAACTAGGTTGAAAATTGAAATGATAGTTTAGGGGCCTAACATTGAGATTTGACTCACTGTATTAAAGGCATGCCTAGACTTTGAAAAGTTGAATTAAAATCAATAATTGAGGCAGTAATTAAAAGTTACTGGTTGGTTAGGCTCACAACTAGCATATTCTCACAAAGCAAGCAAACCATCAAGTGCGCAGCATCTTGTTCCAATTGGATGCAAGTGAAATTGAGAAGAATATGACAATGGAAATTTACAAAAAATAACAATAAAGAAATCTAAAGAGAGAGAGTTCGAGAGATGGAGGAGTTATCTAAAGAGAGAATAAGGTATATAACTATTCCATTTTTGTGAATTTTAATTAAAAATATCTTAAACAAGTTTAGTCTCTAGCTTTTCAAATTCAAACCCCTTTAGGTTTTTCTAATCAATTCTTCTAGCTTTTCCCCTAGATTTTTCTTAGTGGGAATTTAACTTTTCATATATTAAAAGCTCTTTAGATTAATTTATTAAAATAAGTTTAGAGTTAAGTTCGATGCCTAACCCAACAATACATTCCCTTTGGTCATGAATATGTTATTAAAATAATATTGATTATATTATTCCAATTATTCTATTCATTAAATTGAATATCTTCTTCTTCTTCTTCTTTTTAATCTCAAAGAGTTACTTGTTTGTCCTTAATATTTAATATTTAAGCTTGGACGGAGTACTTTAAAAAAAGCACTCTCTCACACACACAAGATGTTTGTTTATAAGATATATTATGTTATGAAAAACACTATTTATTTTGAATAGTAATTAAATTACTTTTTAGTTTTTATAAAACTTGACAACAAACTTTTAAAACTTTTAAATTAGTTCATTTTTTATGGTTCTTTTTATTGTTGATAAAGCTTTGATCTTCAAATTAATTACTACTAAGAGATGCCAGCACTTACTTGTAATAGACCACTATCTGCTTAGCACTATGTCCAATATAAATATATTCTAATTTTGTACTGTTCTCAGCCTAGTAATTGATTTATGCTTCCAACCTTAAATGACTTAGCACAATTTGATGTAACAATATGAATGGTCCATGAAAAGAAAGTTCAAAAAGGAAAGAAACTTCTATAATGTGGAGTAGCTGTTGGGAAATGGGTGGGATGTCACGCACTCCATTTTTTTTTTTCTCTTTTCAGGAGGCACAAAATTTGAATTAGTTGTATTCTTTTGAAATAAAAAAATAAAAAATTTCATATTTAAAAGCATAAGGTTCCTTCAGCCCCATTGTTAAGAATTTCCCGTAATTAAGCTGGGTTAATTTGCCTGACAATTGAGTCAGTCCGCATATCTCTATGGTCTAAAGTGTACAGTTCATTTTCTCCTAATGAGATTATTAATCTTTTTTTTTGTACACACAAGTAATCTCTTATTTGAAATGATTCTGTCCAGATACTGTCAGACATTAAATATTAGCACTTCTCCTATAAGGGATCTAAATATTGGTTCGTCACATTATGAAAAATTAATTCCTTTTGCGAGATTTAACTCCCGTTGGTTGATTATTGTTCTTCTCAATAGTACTAATGAGTGATTAATATTAAGAAGAAAGGAAGACGGGAGAAGAGGAAGTTGGAAATTGCTAAATGCTAGAAGAAAGGAATGCTGAAGTTTCATAATACCTATGAATGAAAGACATCCCAAAACAAGATTTTGAAATTTAAGAAAAAAGCCATAGATACCACCATTAAAAAAAAAAAGTTCAAAATCTCTCATTGGTGAAATTTAAGAAAGGAATGCTGAAGTTTCATAATACTATGCATCAATTTATAAGTTAGATAAATTTGTTTTAAAAAAAATGACAAATATAAGAAATAAGATGGGTTGAGTTTTTATATTTAGGATCAAATTTAATTTCTAATTAGTTGTCATAATAAAAATTGGAGGGAGTAATTAATTGTGTGTCTAGAAACCAGTCAAATTTAGTTATGTTTTGATCAAAATGACATGAAAATAGTTTTACTCAGAAATTGTAAAATCCCTTTTCGAGCAAGTTACAAAATAAATATTTATACCAATATATTTATTAATAGTTTCTTTATTTATATTAATTTTTCTATTTTCCTATCTTTAATTTTTCGGATTTTAAATTTTAATAATTTATTACATCGTAAATATCTTAATATTTTATTAATTTTTTTCAACTGGAATCTTTTTGGCCAAATTTTTAACTGGAATTTGATTCGAACTATCTAAATTATTAAAAAAATATTACTCCTCCGGTCCTAATTATAAGACCCAATTGACTTATTTGGGGAGATTAAGGAAGTAAGTTAAGTTGGTTATTTATAATAAATAAGTGTTGTCATTCCTAAAATATCCTTGCTAATTAAGTATAGTGGCTAAAACTATCATTATTAGAAGGATTATCTTGGAAAAAATGCATAAATATAAGAGACAAAATGAATTAGGGTCTTATAATAAGGACCGAGGAGTACAAAAAATCTAAACGGATGTGCGTTGAGGTTTGAGTGCTTGTCATGTAGTTGTTAAGAGACATGCCAATAGCTGGATTGCGATGGATGAAGCAGACTGCATTAACGCGAAAGTTAATAAGTGAAGCAGAAAGTGCGCATTACAAGTTTATAACTACTAATTAAATGTTACTAATTATTACAATTAATAAGAAATTAAACTAATAATAATAATAATAGTCAAATCATTATTCAATTAAGTTGTTAAAGTAGATGCCATGAGCTATAAAATGGAAGTTATCGTGGCCTCTCTGTTTACATATAATTTGCTCACACAAAAGGTAGATTTATTTAATGCCTTTTAAAAGTTTCTAAGCATGGAGGACTTACACGTTTTATTTCAATTATTCCGATTGAATTTATATGTTATTAATCTCACTTTTATAGTTTCATATTTTTAATTTAAGCCTTATAGATCACAGAATAAAAAGGGAAAAATAATCTTTTCCTTCCTGTGTTTCTAATTCGATGTGTTACAATTTAATTTCTGGACTCTGAATCGTTATAATTCAATCCAGTAGTTTAAAATCATATATTTTATGAAACTTGGAAACTAAAATTTTAAACTGTCAAAATTATAAGGATTAGGTTGGTATGAAACAAGATTTAAAGGCCGAGTTATAACTAAGTCGAAACTATAAAAATTATATTATTAATTTTCTTAGATAAAAATAACATACACTATTAAACATGGTTATAAATAGGAGTTATATGTATACTCTTCTAATCTTATTGTAATATCTAATTAATTAATTTGGGTATATTCAAGATGTTAGTTAAGTTAGTTGATATGATATATTTTTTTCTAAAACATCCTAAGTATCTTTCTTAATTTTCTCATTCCCTCTCTTATTTAATTATTGTTAAGGAAATATCAATAAGATTGATTGAGGAAAAAATTGATAATTGATTTGAAATTTTGAAATTCAAGAGATTTTTTTATTTTTAATTAAAAATGACATAATTTTTTATGAATTAAATATTATATTTTATAGCTCAGTTTGCACTAAAAATAAAGCTATTCACGTAAGATCACCTTTTATTA